CTGTAAAACCATCTGGTCCTGGACTTTTCTTAGCTGGGAGGTCTCTTATTGCTGTTTCTATTTCAGTGCTTGATATGGGCCTGTTAAGATAGTTTAACTCAGCAAGATAGATTATTATTCGTTGTTTTTTTTTTTTTTTGGTTAGTTTTGGGGCCTGAACTCTGGGCCTGGGCGCTGTCCTTTAGCTCTTCAGCTCGAGGCTAGCGCTCTACCACTTGAGCCACCACACCACTTCTGGCTTTTTTCTGCTTATGTGGTGCTGAAGAATCGAACCCAGGTCCTCATGCATGCAAGGCAAGCACTCTACTACTGAGTCACCTTCCCAGCCCGAAGATAGATTATTTTTAAAACCTTTTTCTAATATGTATAACTGGCATAATCATATTGGCTAAATATGTAAAGGATAATTCTCCTCCTACCACCTTCCTATCCTTGAGTTTAGCAGTTAATTTTTTTTAAGTGATCATATTTTCCACAAACATCAGTGGCTGAGTCTGGGCTATGATATTTATTTGAATGCTCCATCTTCTAGAATGATGTTGTTGTTGTTGTTGTTCTTCTTCTTCTTCTTCTTCTTCTTTTTTGCCAATTCTGGGGTTTGAACTAAGGGCCTGAGTGCTTTCCTGAGCTTTTTTGCTCAAGGTTCTTAATCTGCCATTGAGCCTCAGCTACACTTCCAGTTTTTTGGTGGTTAATTGAAGATAGTAGTCCCATGGACTTTACTGACTCCTGACTGGATTGGCTTCCAACCATGATCCTCAGATCTCAGTCTTTCTCTATAGCTAGGATTATAGGCATGAGCCCCTGGTCCCCAACTTAAACTGGTGTTTTTCTACACAGGTATATCTCCTAGTCAGTGGTGTCACGATACATGACATCACTGTTTAAATGCAGAAATGTGTAAATGTAGAAATTTTGTTCTCAGTTTTCTTGCAGTGGTAGGAATTGGTTGAAAAGAAGAATAATTTGCCAAGCATGGTGGCAATATGCCTGTGTTGTGTTCTCTAATTCCAAAATTTGGGAGCGGAGGAAAAGAATCCAAGGTCTGCCTGGCCTACTTAGTGAGTCCCTGTCTAGCATGCTCTAGGCCCAGGGTTTGATCCTTAGCAGGTTCCCACAAAAACAGGATAATTGAGTTTAATGTACACTCAAAGCCAGAGACTTACTTTATTTTATTTATTGTGGTTGGCTACAAACAAAAGGTAGTTAAATAGGCTGAGTTAATTATTATTATACCTTTTGACAGAAAATCCTAGTTCCTAGTAATAATGAGTTTATTTTATTAAAAGTCATAGGACAGAGTTTTAGATTGGTAGATAGGAAATTAGGTATTTTTGGGGGGAGGTTACTGGAGCTTGATCTGAGGAACTTCTACACCATACCCCAGTCTGAGCCATACCCCAGTCCTTTTGCTGGTACTGGGTTTCTTCTCCCCTCCCCTCCTATATTGGGTCTGGTTATTTTGCCTAGTTCTCCCTGTCTCCTTCTGAGTAGGTGGAATTAAACATTTATACCACACCTAACTCTTTTCTAATATTTTGTACTCTTAAGTATTTCAGCTATTTTTGTTTCTTTGATAATATTAGGGTTGAACTCAGGGCTTTGTGCTTGCCACATATAAGCACTCTACCACTTTAGCTACATATCCAGCCCTAGGATTTCAACTTTTGTGTGTTTGTACACTTGGCCACCTGTAATCATGAATTCTGCATCAATCAACTGAAGATGAAAAATAGATCAAAATTACATCTCTGCTTATCTATCACATACAGACATTTTTTTCTTGGTATTATTTCCAAAGTAGTATAGGATAGTAAATATTTAGCATTTAAATTCCTTAGATATTATAGGTACTTGAGAGATGATTTAAAGTATATGGAAAAGTGTAGATTATATATGAATACTATGTAGCATTTTATAACAGGATTCTTCAGCATCATGGATTTTGGTACGGGTAAGAAGGGGGATTGTCTTTGAAACCAGAACACTTCAGTTTTGAGGAAGAACGTTTACCTCTAAACATTTAATTAAATAAGTATTTCCTTGGTATAGTTTTATATCAGAGTATTTTAAATTAAAATTGATGTTGAGAGATTCCTAAAATATTAAATCTTGAGTCATTAACATTTTAAAATGTTACAGTGAACTTCTTGAGACCAGTAAAAATAAATCTCTCTCTTTTTTAATCTTTTTTTTTATTTTTTACTAACAATAGCTATAAGAGGACCTTGGTAAGAACCATCAGTAAGTTGTCTTTTCCTTTTTCAGACTCCCATCAATCATCCATGCATGTCAGTAGTGAATTTTACATTATACTGAATTATACATTAAGGATTATTGGCTTTTCCCCCTTTCTAGTGCTGACTGGAACTTGACTTTGTGCTTTCCTAAGTGAATTGTCCTGGAAATTCCTTCTCATTTCATGCTTATGCTACTTAATGTTTCCCTCACCATTTGAAATGACCTTTAGAATTTTTTGACAGTTTTATTTTGTTTTTTGAATGAGTTTGACTAAAATGGAAAATTAATTTTGTCTGGTCGGAGAGGATGTCAAATAGAAATGGTACACTATTACCATTTTCATCTCATTGAGCATATATTATATACATGGTTATGTATTATGTTGTTTATTTTGATAGACTAAGTCATTGGTATATTTTATTGATAGTTTTTGTTTCTGTTTGTGCAAGCAGTTTATGGTTAACATGGTATACAATAAAATTAAATATGTTTATTGTTAATTATGAGACCCTGAAAATTAGTTAACTGACATATATCTCTGAGTATGTTTACTTAAAGTAGTAGTACCTTGTTTTCTTTTATGAATATATTTCAGAAGAAAGTAATTCCCGTACCATTTATGGAAAATAAGTCTTATTATCAAAATTGGATTTATTCTTAGATTTGACTAACTTCCTAACAACCAGTAACTATATTGGGACAAATTCTTATTTTCTAAGCAAAGGGTCTGATCATAAAGTGGTAGGGTGCTAAGCTTAAACAAAAGAAACTCAGCTACAGCACCCACGACCTGAGTTCAAGCTTTCAGGACCAGCAAAAAAAAAAAAGAAAGAAAAAAAAAAAAGGAATTCGAGGATGAATTTCGGGTTTTACAGATAGCCTCAGGACAAATAATGGGGGTGACTAAGGTTTTGTAGGAGGCACTTTTTGTACACGAAGAACAATTACACGATCTATTTAAAAAGTGAATTTTATTTTTGTTTAAACTTCACTTTTTTAAAGAAGTAGTATTACATTAATTTGGTAACTGTTCAAAACTGTTTATTCTTTGACCTCCTGACTGAAGGCATTACAGGCATAAATTTTAATTTGATTAATTTTTTTCAGGTTTTTGTATTTATTTTAAAATATTCTTCCTTTTATCCATGTGTTTAAATTTTGCTATAGATTTCTGTTCTACCATTCTTTAACACTAACTTTAAAAAGCTTAAAGAATTATAAAAAAATGTTTGTAACATGTATACATAAAAGTAAATGATAACAACATTGCTTCTTATGTAGGCCATTTAATATGCTTAGAGAGCCCTTCCCTGGAACCCTGCCTTGGCTGGTGGAGTCACCCACTTGTTGGGATCATTAATATAATGATGTCTTACTCATGAAGCAATATTCCCCGCATTTCCCACACATTAGTCACTTGTTTGTGCCCTCCCTTTTTATTTCACTAAATCCTTTGTAATTTCTAATGCTTAGAATCTAATTTTTTTAAACATTTTATTATGAATGGAATTAAAGCTAACTTGTAAAATCAAAATTGGATAAGGGTAAATTGAAAGTTGGAGAGTCTCATGGACTGCTAGATAGCAGTTTGATAGGACTAGTGAGTCTTTCCTGGAGCCCTTGGGTGAAGCAGTTAGAATTACCTATGTGTTTCAGATGCCAGGTTGATGCTATCTTTTTAGGTGAGTAAAATGTTTGAACAGGACTTTTATTGTTTGTAACTTGCAGCTTACCAGCCATGAGACAGAATGGAGTCCCAAACACCCAGATGAGGATGCAGTGGCATCTTTTGCTGATGTTGGATGGGTGGCCACAGAAGAAGGAGAGTGCTCAACAAGACTAAGGTTAGTTTAAAAGACTGGCAGGGCTGAGAGGTAGTGTTTGTTGTTTTAAAGAATGATACATTTGATTATTTCCTTCTAATTGCTTGGTTCATCTGTAGTAACCCTTCTTTTACTTTGAATATTCAGCTTGTATTTAAAAAGTTCTTAGGGACATGTAATTATGTCCTCTGTCCTTGCGAGTCACAAAATCCTTGCCATTTAGGTTACATTTTAGTATGGGGAGTAGGAAAAAAAAAGATCATAAGTTGTTTAGGTAAGTACAGTAATTATAATGGTTTCATTGGGACAGAGGGTTCAGTTTGCATCATAGAGAATTCATGTATTTAGAGAATGTTTCTCTAAACACTGTGAGTTGGATGAGTTATAATTTGAAGGGAACAAAATGTAAGAGTTGGAAGAGGTGCTTCAATTTATTTGAAGGCCTGAATAAAATGTTGACTATAAACTCAATTTAAATAGTTATTCAGCATATATGCTTTACTCTTATTATGTATCAGAAATAGGCTCTGATCATGAATTTCTAGAAGTACTTGCTAGAGGAATTAAAAAGGGAAACCAATATTACTGATCCTGTAACATCTACTAGCAATTAAAGAAAGTCACTATATGAAGGGTGAGATGTTTAAAAACACTAGGGTGATGCTAAGTTCAGTGATGAGGGGTCAGTAGCCAACCATTTGTGAAGACCATTCTATTTATATATAAATAACATAGAGAGCTTTTGTACCGTGAACGATGCCAGCATTTAGAAATTTTAAAAAAAAGCCTTATGTGTCCACTCTCCTAATTAATAATTGGCTCAAGAGGCAGGAGGAGAACTAGTAGTGGGCATTGTTGCTCTCACTGGCAGAAATGTAAGAGAGTTTTCTTTGCAGAGGGGGATAACAGGTAGGCATCAATGTCAATTACTTAGAGGCTAGGTAAGTTGAAAAGTGAGCGAGTTTCAACTTTGTTTTTCAGTTGGGAGATTATCACTGACTTTAGCAAGAGTGGTATTAGCTGAATAAAATAATCAGTAATCCAAAGCAAAGATGGAATTTGGGAGAACAGAACTAGTGAACATAGACCCACAGACCAAATATTCTGGCATTAGCAGGTAAAGAGCTTTCCTAAAACATTATTCTTTTTTTCTTTTCATTTTCCTTTTGCTCCTCTCTCCATCCCCTGGGTTTCAGTGTAGCCCAGGCTGGCATAGAAGTCACAATCCTCACTTTCCTGGATGTTAGAATTGTAGTTGTATGCTACCACACCAGTTTTTTTAATTTAATTTAATTTTTTACCTGTCCTGGGGCTTGAACTCAGGGTCTGGGCACTGTCACTGAGCTTCTTTTGCTCAAGGCTAGCACACTACCACTTGAGCCACAGTGCCCACTTCTGGATTTTTCTTTTTTTTTTGGTTGGTCCTGGGGCTTGAGCTCTGGGCCTGGGTGCTGTCCCTGAGCTCTTCAGCTCAAGGCTGGCACTCTACCATTTGAGCCACAGCGCCACTTTCAGTTTTCTGTTGGATAATTGAGATAAGACTCTCAGGGACTTTCCTGCCCAGGCTGGCTCTGAACCATGATCTTCAGATCTTAGCCTCCTGAGTAGCTAGGATTACATGCATGAGCCTTTGGTGCCCGGCTACTTCTCGCTTTTTATGTTTATATGGTACTGAGGAGTTAATCACAAGGACTTCATGCATGCTAGGCAAGCGGTCTACCACCAAGCCACATTCCCACCTCTATTCTACTTTTAAATTAAACTTCAAAAAATTTTTGGACATAACTGTATGTTCTTCATGTGCAGTTGTAAAAAAAACCCCAGAGAAATTATACCCCTTGTTAATCAAGTTTCCTGACTAGTTTCCTAAGTTTACAGTGTAATATTCTGCAAAGCTAATAAGATATATCACAGCATATTGGCATTGATAAAGTGAAGGTGTGAACATTTTACAACAGGGTTTCTTAGTATTCTCACTTGTATTTGGTAGTGTTAACATTTCATACCACTATACCCTACATCCCATTCTATTAAGTGTTACTGAAAGCTTGTGGATTTACTTTTTATTTCCTTAATATAATGATTTTGAGTATTCTTTCATGCAACTCATGTATTCTTTTGTGTGTAATGTCTTTTTAGATTTTGTCCATGTTTTTTAATTGGACATTTTTGAAATATCTATGTATTCTACCTATGAGTACTTGGCATGATGGTGCATGCCAGTAATTCTGACTACTCAGCAGGCTGAGATCTGAGGATTGCAGTTTGAAGCTAGCTCATGTAGAAAAGTTCATAAGACTTTTTAATTCCATTTAACTGGCAAAAAAACAGAAGTGGTAGGGTGCCAGAGTTGAGTGGAAAAACTAAGTGCAAATTCAAGGCCTTGAGCTTAAGCTTCAGTACTGGCATACACAAAACAGTCTTAACTCTAGGTGTAATGGGATACACCTGTAATCTCAGCTAATTGGGAGGATAAAGCAAGAGTATCACTTAACTGAGGAGTTCAAGACCAGTATGGGCATCATAGCAAGATCCTGTCTCAAAAAGAAATAGGATCTAGTCAGTGGTAGAGGACTTGCCTAGCAAGTTTAAGGCTCTCAGTTGGATTCACAGACACACACTCTCTCTCTCTCTCTCTCTCTCTCTCTCTCTCTCTCTCTGTCTCTCTCTCTCTCTCTCTCTCTCTGAAACAGTCTTGCTGGGATAATTAATTTGTACAATGTAACATTGTAACACATAATGAAGTTAAAGCCTAATCTCTGAGGTCCCTAGTAGACAAACATTAAATGTTTAATTACTTTTCAAATATATTTCAAGTTTAATGGCAACTTACTCTATCCTTGGGGCTTGAATCCAAGTCCTGGACATGTACCTGAGCTTTTTTGCTCAAGGCTGGTAGTCTACCACTTTGAGCCACAGCTCCACTTCTGGCTTTTTGGTGCTTAATTGGAGATAGGAATCTCATTTAAAAGAGAGAGAGAGAGAGAGCACAAGAGAGATAAAGAGTCATATAGATTTTCCTGTCCAGGCTGGCTTCAAATTGCAGTCTCAGCCTCCTGAGTAGCTAGGATTATAGGTGAGAGCTACCAGTGCCCAACTTCTATGTTAATAACTTCTACTTGTATTTAATTCTTATGTAAAATGCTGTATGCATATCAAACTCATTTTTTTCTGGTGGTGTAGGGCTTCGTACAGGCTATCATTGAACTACTTACCCAGTTCAATAAAATTTTTTGGGCTCATTGTGCATAAAAGTATTGTAAGTAACATTTTCCTGTGTAAGAATACTTGTAACTAATGAAGAAGTTGAACATGTAGTTAGTTATTCCTTGTCCCTCAGTATCTTAGGAGGGTTGATTCTAGGATCCTTGCCTATACCAGAGTCTACCAGTACTCAACTCTTTATGTAAAATGGTTTAGTATTTGCATATAACTCCCACAGACCCCAGCCTAGACATTAAATCTCTGGATTACTTAACAATACTTAATATAGTATCATATTTAGGTAATAATGGTAAGAAAACAAAGTCTATGCATGTGCAATGCATATAATTAAAATTTTTCCCCCCATCTCTGATTGATTGAATTTCATGGGTGTAGAACCTGTGGACATAGAAGGTTAATTATATTGGGGGAAACTAGTAAAGATAGATAGATCATAGATAGCTAAACAGCTAGCTATCTAGCTAGCTGTTCAGCTCTCCAGCTGAATTTTTCAAACAGGCAGAATAGAATGAACTACTTTAAAGGGCTGTCAGAGAAGACCCCAGTCTACTAGAAAAGATGTGGAGTACCAAGACTGTAAGGAAGTGACTGGGGAAGCAGGCAGACTGGCTTGGCATAGCTCTTAATTGGTAACATATCAGGAAACTCCCAGAATAAGAACAGTTTGCTACCACAGCACATAAAACAGCAGGTGTTACTCATTCCCATTGTTACTATAACTTACTGGAACATCAATCAAATAGTACCTTCAAAGGTGAAATGTTATGCCACTTTTATGAAAATCTAATTTTTAAAATAAAACCATAGAAAGCTTGTGTTGGATTGAGTCCAGGAACAATTCATGTGAGTCCCACTGGGCTTTTGGTGCAACATCACAGCACTTCTGCCTGTGCCACTGCTGTCCTGTCCTGGATTCCCCGCAAGGTCTGTGCACATTTCCCTAGGCTGCTCATTCTTACCAAACCACTTGCTCATTTTGAAAACCCAGCCTTGTGTTACAAGGAACTAAACGGACAGCTTCTTTTCCTTTCTGAATTCTAACAATTCTTCATTGCTCTTTAAACCAAAAAGGTGAAGGAGGGCTAGTAAAAGTCATTTTGGAAATAACCACATTCCTTAAATACTGAGGTAAGTTAAAACTCACTGAGGAAATAGAAAGGACCCCAGAGATGTAACACTTGATTTAGAACTTTCTTTGACATGGTACTGGAGCTAAAAAGCCCTCTGTATTTATGTCAATTGTATTCCAAAAGTGGCTTCCTTTGATAGTGATATTAAAAATAAATAAAAGATTATTCTAGTGCAGGGGTATTCTATATAGAAGCTTATGGGCTACTGCCTTGCAGCATTTTGGAGCCAAAATCAAACAAAACTTGTGGAAATCTCAGTAGCAAAAAGTGGAATGGTACACCTGGCGGACAAATGATTTTTAAATAGTGTATGTATTAGAAAAAACTTGCTGTTTTCTGCAACTTTATATGTAAGCTTTATCTCTTTTCCATACTTTATGGCAGAATTAATTTTCTAAAGGACTCAGAGCTATTCATATTTTATAATATTTATAAGGAATAATTTTCTCCAGGGCTACATTGTTGTTTAATTGAAGATATGTATATGTATACAAGTATATATGTGTGAATGAGTGTGTCGAAGTTGTGTTATAGCTTTAACTGGCAGTGTTGTACCTCTTGCAGTAGCTGTGCATACAATTGATAGCATCTTGAATTTGGTGAAATTTGGGATTTGGAAAAGATTCCTAATATCATGGAATAATTGGTAAGGCTTAATAATAAAATAATGATTGTGAACTTCAAAAAAAAGAAGTGGTATGGTGAAAAAAATTCAAGAAACTCAAGCTGGGTACTGGTGGCTCATGCCTGTAATCCTAGTTGAGATTTGAGGATTGCGGTTTAAAGCCAGCCTGGGCAAGAAAGTTGTGAGACTCTTATCTCCAACCAACCACCAGAAAATCCAAAGTGGAGCTGTGGCTCAAAGTGGTAGAGTACTAGTCTTGAACAAAAAATAGTTCCAGGGACAGCTCCCAGGCCCAGAGTTCAAGCCCTATGACCGACAGAAAAAAGAAAAGAAGACACTTAAACTGTTTGTCTCTACCTTATTCATTTTGGTATGTCTCTGTTTTTTATTTCTTTAAAATTTCAGAAATTGAAAAAAGGCAAAATTCATCTGTAGGAGTTATGGGAAGATATAGAAACCTAACACTGCTTTTGGGCTGTGGAGGTATGGCTCAAGTGGTAGAGTGCCAGTTGGGAGCAAAAATGTTGAGCAAGAGGCCCTGAGTTCAAACACGTGTGTGTGCTTGCCTGCGTGTGTGTGCACACACACACATGCAGGTGTGTGTACACACACATCAATTTTTTCCTTGAAATTTATCTTGGGTAGGAGCTATTATAAAGAACATTCAGTTATGCCTTGCAATTAATATCTTAATCATCCTCTGTCATCGTATCTTGTTTTATTCTGGATCTTGTGGAATAAATCTTGAAATTTGAAGATTGAGTCACCTGAATGATAATATCTTAAGCAAACTTGTGTGGATTAATACTTTGGGATCTTAAAATTCCTAGAAGAATATTAATGCCCAAGTGACCAGTAATTGTTGTTGTTTTAAAATAATTTTTTAACTAAAGATTCTGATATCTCAAATTAATTTCCTATGTAGAAGGTATGTGAAGCCTCTGAAAAACTGTAATAATATAAAAAACCGTCATCCCTGTCTTCATTCTCAGATGCAGAAGTGAATATATTTGTCCTATTAAGTAGGATTTGATAAAGCAAAGTTCTGCTTTCAAGGAAACAGGAGCAGTAGGATATGTGTTTTGCACACAGTTTCTGTCGTCTTTCCTTCTCTCAGTTGTTGTCTCCACATTTCTCTTGTGTGTACCTAATGCATAGTATCCCAAAGAAGCTGTGCTTTTCAACCCCCTTCTTTTAATCACTCTCAGTTACTACCACTCTCCCTTCTTTCTCCACTACTCCCATGCTACATTTCCTTGAGATCTCTATATTTTGCCCAGATAATGAGTTGTCAGGCTAAGATTCTTTTATTCTCACTGTCTTACCAATGCTTTCCCTAGTTCCTTCAATAGTGATTTTAAAGGTCATTGTTTTATTAAAACCAATACCAAGAATGTATTTGAAGAATTATGCTAAATAAGAATTTATACTTACCTTATGAGGGGGGTGGTACCACCACCACTTTTGCAAGGAACACCTACAGGGAACCACAGTAATTACTTTCAAAATTTTAATGTCTTTCTAAAATTGTTTTCCTGTTTTTGTAGATTGATTAAATTGCATGCATCTAAACCAATGAATTCTGTAGCATTACTTTTCAAATAGCATGTTGATACATTTGATTTGAGCATTGATACTGTTCCTTACTGAAGTTTACTTGTGTTCATTCTACATGTGTCTTTTATAGAAATTTCATCATCTATCCCCCGCCCCCCCGTCAGTCTAAGAAAGGAAACAGTAATTGAAGCTCTGCAATCCAAACATTACCCTATCCCATAAATATTCCAAGTTAAATAAACAAAGTTGATATTATGCTAGTGCAAGGAAAAATAAATTTTCTTCTTCAAATCCTTTTCATTATGCATTTAAAAAAAACTTGCAAGCATTGTAATTTAACTAGCAGGGAATAAATAAAATTAAATTTAGAAAACAAAAACAAGCATCTAAACTCAGTTCCTAGTTTCAAAAGCTGAGTGTCCAATGATTCCCCATTAAAAGTACAAGCCTGGTGCTGTACATCTGTAATACTAGCTACTCTGGAGGCTGAGATCTAAAGACTGAGGTTCAAAGACAGCCAGGGCAGATCTGTACAACTTGGGTTGGGAGGGGGGGAGACTGAAGGGGGAGGGATAGTAAGAGAAAAATGAGGGAAGGGGTAACAAGTTTGACAAGTTACCTTATGTAACTGTAACCCCTCTGTATATCACCTTGACAATAAAAAAGAGAGAGGGGGAAAAAACAAAAAAGACAGCCAGGGCAGAAAAGTTTGTAAAGAGTCTTACCACCAATTTAACAAAAATGTATGGGTGCCAGCTATGAGTGAAAAAGCTTAGCAAAAGTTCAAGCCTCAGTACCTGCACAAAATAACAACAGAAGAACAGTGTACCACATCCCATGAAAAGAAAATTAAATAGAATGTGATACTGTTACGTGTTCTAAAAGCTGGGACACATTTGTAATAGAGAAGCCCAAAATAGTGGTGGCTTAAGGACGTTGAAGTTTATCTTTTCTAAGAAAGCTTATCTGGAGCTGATTGTGCTCTACTGTATTATCTGGGATCCAGCCTGGCTGTAAGTTATCATTAAGGATTTCCGGAGTTTCCTCTGGCACTCTAAAGCACTATCTTACACTCTAGATAGATCCTAGCCTGAAGGAATGGCTGAGCTGGAAGGAATTTCTTCTCTTGGGTACCTCCCTTTAAATGGCCCTCTAGCATAGCCTAGTTTAGTCACGTGGCTAACCACATACCAAGAGGCTGGGAAATGTAATCCTTTAGCTGGGCACAGTGCTGCCCTAAAATAAATGTTTTCTTCTTTGTTTCTACTCTGTTGCTTTTTGGGTTGTAGTAACTTTTACTGAGCAGAAAGGGAAGGAGCATGCTTTTTGGAGTAAGCAACTTGGGATCTCTGTTCCAACACTGCACTGTGTACTGGCAGCTGGCTAGTATCATCCATATCCCACCTGAGCACTACTCTAATTTTATAACTGGTGTTTTTACTGTGACCATTGATGGAGCTGATCACAGAGATTATTCCCTCGGGATTCAGTTGTGATTCTTGAAATGTGATGAATTTTCAGAGGGGTATAGTGAAGACAGTTAGCTTTTCAAAGGAATTTGTGACTTCAAAAACAGTTGGACATAATTTTCTGAAGTTGATTTAGAATAAGGATCAAATTGTTTTACTTGTTTTTTAATTGTTATATGTACAGAGGGCTTACAGTTACATAAGTTAGGTAATGAGTACATTTTCTCTTTGGACAGTGTCACCTCTTCCTTCACTCTCTCCCTGTTTTCCCTCCTCTCCTTGCCCATAAGTTGTATAGTTCATTTTCAACAGTGTCTACTGAATACCACTGCTGTGTTTGCTCATCTTTTGTCCTTCCAATTCTGTGTTCCCCTAATCCTTCAAAGATAGATAAATGAAAAAACAAGACAAAAGAAAAACTCTGTTTCTATTTCCTGGAATTCATTTTGATAAATGTTATTTTATATACCTAGAGGCTTTGTACCTTTGTGTTTCTCCCCAAAGATTATCTCCTAAGATTCTTTTCTTGTCTTTAAACCTCCAAGTCAAAGCACTCTGTCCCATTCCTTTATAGTCTTGAATATGCCAGAGAGGGCCTTCCTAGTCACCATTCCCAATGTAAAAAAATGTAAAGTAATGATAATATAAAGTCTGAACCAGAGAGATTTCTTCATTATGATATATTTTTAGATTTTAGTGTGAATTAGGACTTTGAATCTTTTGTAGAAAGATAGAAATATTGATAGCCTTAAAAAAGTCATAAATCTTAACTCCATATTATAGGCTGATGTACAAGTAGTTTGTGATTTTGGCTGTGTCTAGAGCTGCAAATGTAAGTGTAATTTCCTGTGCTTGTATGAAGAATTATTTGGATACTATTGAGTTCTCGATGACCATTACACCAAAATAATAGAATTCAGGCATTTCCTGAATCTATCGCTGTCATAGATGGGAATAAGGGAAAAATAAAACTTGGACTGGTTTAGAAAGGGAAGTAATTGAAGACAAAATGACTGATGGGAAAAATTAATTGTATAAAATTGAAGGAAATAGGTAAGTATATGCGTAGACAATTGAAATCTAAATTTTATTTTCAATGTGGAAATATTTGATAGTGTACATTAAAATTTTTTTAACACTCAAAGGAAAATGAGACCAGCTCTAGGCCTACTACGTGGTTTCAATTGTGATTTCATCTTGACTGGCACTATATTTAGCTCACATTACTGTGTGCCTAGCCGTTTTATGTAGTCTTATCATACAGAAGAAACACTGACATTGCAATGCAGAAGCCAAAATCCTGGGGAAGGGCTAAGGAATTCCTGGTTGAATTTTATTAGTTTAGTTTATAACTAAGTTATCATTCTGAAGAATATTGAAAATTTTCTTAGTTCAGGCAAAAATAGTACGTGAGTTAACAAATATTTCCTTGGAATTTTTGATGTCTCTAACAGTGTTGATTTGTGCATATTCTGTACAGACTAAGAAGAATGATGACAGTAAGCATCCTATACTTTCTGAGTAGTTCCATAAAGTTTCAAATGCCTTGCTCTTTCCTTTTTCTTTTCTTTATTTTTTTGTTTTTTGGTTTTTTAATAATAGAGGATTTCCGAAAGCTCGGCCTGGGCAGTGATTTGTGAGTGTCATGCCTCACTGCTCTGTTAATGGGTAGTGCTGATTTTTCGTATGCCTTTATAAAGCCACGTTCCATCTTCCTTGCAGGACAGAAGTCACGTCAAAACCACCCCATCAGGACTGCCTTCCTTACCTTGAGAAGTCCCCAAGCAGGCAGGTTTCTTTACCAAACTTGTCTCAAGAAGATCCTCCACTGAAGACTGCAGCACTGGCCAATGAGGAAGCACTGCAGAAGATTTCTGCACTTGAAAATGAGCTCGCTGCTCTCCGAGCTCAGATTGCCAAAATTGTGACCCTGCAAGAGCAGCAAAATCTCGTTACAGGTCTGTAGGCCCTGGATTTGTTCTATCTGGAAACTAGGAAATGCTGCTTGATTCATTGGTGACAGTTCTTGAGGTTATTTCAAAATAGTCCTTGGCCTCATCTAGCGTAGAACCCCATCAAGTTTAGATTGTTTCTATGTTTTGAACAGTCTTGATGCTATTAGAGAGGATGAATAGGAAACCTACTTGAAAAACATTGAAATTTAAGCACTTGAACTGCTACTGTTGTGAGCGCTTTTCTAATGGGAATTAGTTGTCTAATATATCCACACTACCACTACCAGACGTAAGATCATCCTGTGAAAGGAATCCAGTAAAAGGAGCCAAGTCTGGGTTTAGGATTACTGCAGTTTACTACCTGCGTGTCCTGAGGAGGCATTTGACTTTACCTCCCTGTCCTCTAAAATGGGCGTAAAAGTACGCTTGTCATCAAGTGCCTGTGCAAGTGGAAAATGTACAGAATGCCTTTAGCACCCAGCAGTTGCTGAATGGTTGGTTGTTTCCCTTCCTCACATGCAGAATGCAAACTGAATTCAGATCTTGTGGCTTAGTGTTATTGCTTTAATTAGTGTGACATCGTTTCTTCTATAGAGAAGAAAACAGCCTGCTATCCTGTTTTGTTCCCAAGTCCTGGCTAGACTTCTGTATTAACCAGCTCTGTTAAAAGACTATGGTGATTAATTACCCTGCTTCTGAGTCACTTTGCTTGTTGCCATTTTCTGAAATCTCATGCAACCTGTAAGGTGCTCTGGGGGGGCGGAGGGAGGAATGTTCCCTTCATTGAGCTTGGCACAACCATGTAGCTTTTCAAAAGCCTGAAGTCCTCTACCTCTCCTGTCTCTTTCTTCTGTTAACTTTAAATTGCTGTTTTCTTCCACTTTACATTTCTTCTTCTGGCATGCTAGAAAAGTATAGTTTGGGAATTTTGTTTAGACATTGCATTGAGTCTGAGTTTTTGAGTATAACTCTTGGATTAGTACAATTTCCTCTCTGCCCTCATTAATGCAGTTCAGCCACTAAACATCTCTCTAACTTATGACTATGCAGAGAAAAGAATTTTAGGTTATTTTATAACTTCTTTAACTCATTTATTTGAAAATTAAACCTGACAATTTTTTTCTTCAACAAGTTTATTCATAGTTTTCCATAAACATTCCAGTTAGTGAACGTTCATAATACTTAATAAATCTTATATGAAAGAAAATATACTTTACACAAATGAAAGTTTTTAAAAACAGCATTAAATTATCAAGCTACATATTGGAGATGTTTATGTGATGCAGTCTGCTTTGTATTACTGCTCAGAGTGATTACCCAATGTGCCGAAATCAGACGTGAGCATTTGACGTGTTAAGTTAAATGGAACTTTTTCACCTGGTGAGTTTAGAGTCAGTAGTACAGTAGATCAGAGTCAGACATGAAGTAACTGAACTGAGATTTTTTTGGGGGGGGAGAGGGTCCATTCATGGGGTCTGAACTCTGGGCCTGGGCGCTGTCCCTCAGCTCTTCAGCTCAAGGCTAGCACTCTACCACTTGAGCCACAGCGCCACTTCCGGCTGTTTTCTTTTTGCTTATGTGGTGCTGAGGAATCAAACCCAGGGCCTCCTCAGGCATGCAAGGCAAGCGCTCTACCACTAAGCCACCTTCCCAGCCCATAACTGAGATTTTTTTTAAGACTACATTTAAGAATACAGAAACCTCCAATATAATTTTATTGCCATCAGGATTAAGTTTATTTCTTCTCATTTCTTTTGTAGGTGACTTAGATTCTACCACAGCCCCTCCTCCTCCTCTTCCACCTCCACCCCCACCCCCACCTCCACCCCCACCCCCACCTCCACCTCCCCCTCTACCAGGACTCCACCAAAGTATGTCTGCTATTGACTTGATTAAATCACGAAGAGAGCAGAAAGCCAGTGCTGGAAAGACTTTGACTAGCAGCCCAAAGAATCCTGACAAGCCAAATATGCTAGAAATCCTTAAAGATATGAACAGTGTGAAACTTCGGTCAGTCAAGCGGTGAGCATAATACTTACCTTCTTTTTCAGTTTCCCAATAGTTGATGTCTTGCAAACCCAAGTTGCTTGGCTCCTACATATTGTAGTTAGGATATTAGCAAAATAAACCAATATTCCAGGTGCTGCTTTAGCTTTCCGATTTTATATCATCCTTTCCTATGAAGCTTTGATTGCATTTTCTCATTCAGTAAAAAAGTGCATTGTACTCACATGGGTAGCCCCAGGGATACATGAGAGCTAGGTCTGGAAAGCACAGGCTATGCTCTAGAATTACATTATCTGGGTCTTCTTATTTGTTTTTTTTGCGTGGGGGGGGGGGCAGTACACTAGGATTTGAACTCAGGACCTTACACTTGTTAGGTAGGCACTGGACCACATGAGCCAAACATACCTGTTGCACTCTAGTGTGACTTTATTGAGTCTTAAGTTTCACTTTCTATTTGACTACAAGCAATGTGTGTCAGTGTTACTACAGAGTAGCCAGGACACTGGAGAAGCACTATTGGCCCAGAGTACTTTTTTTTTTGGGGGGGGGGTCAAGTCGTGGGGCCTGAACTCTGGACCTGGGCACTGCCCATCAGCTCTTCAGCTCAAGGCTAGTGCTCTACCACTTAAGCCACAGTGCCACCTCCGGCTTTTTTCTTTTTGCTTATGTGGTGCTGAGGAATCGAACCCAGGCCCTCATGCATGCAAGGCAAGCTCTCTTCCACTGAGCCACCTTCCCAGCCCCCCAGAGTACATCTTGCAAGCACTCAGAGCACTGCCTGCCAACTTGGTTTTTGTCCATTTCTCAAAGGTCGGAGCAAGATGTAAAGCCCAAGCCAGTGGATGCCATGGACCCTGCCACTCTTATAGCAGAGGCTCTGAAAAAGAAATTTGCTTATCGGTATCGAAACAATAGTCCAGGTGAAACTGAAAAAGGAGTTGCAAAGTCTGAGTCAGAGGCTACCTCAGAGACAGCTTTGGTGAGTATTGGTCCACTCTGTCCTGTTAAGCGGTACTTCACCCTGGGATAGAGCCCCAGTCCTGGCAAGTCATAGAGTTGTATATCTTCTGCAAGATTCATTGAGATGTGCCAAAAAGGGTTTAGTTCCCACTCACAAGTAGATTGCAGCTAGCTGGGAAAAGATGACATCTGTATTTAGCTCTTATGCTTTTATGTTTCTCACTATAATGGTAGTTAGTAGTTGTTCATTTACGGTTTATAACTTATAGAAGAACATGAAGAAGAAAACAAAAAGCCAAGTTCCCATCTCACCACTTCCCCAATCTCTGTTAAATTTTCTATGTATAGTTGTTTGTAGTTAAGCATTATGAAGTGAAATTGAATATAATAAAGTTTTACCAGGGGGCAGTGTATATGTTGTGACATAGAAATTCAAGCAAGATCATCTTCTCATAGTGCACCCTGTGAAAGCCTTCTGAAGAGAGTGTACTTGTTTGATGACTCCCATGTCATAGGTAGAGATGGAGCAGATTTCATAGGCTCCTATATTTTTATATTCCCTTTATGTTACTGGAACTCGGACATGTGCTTATCTGGTCCAGAGACAGATATCAAGTTCAAATGTCCTGGATACCCTTTAGACATTGCAAGGGGAGTCCTGCGTTTCCTCCTCCATTCAGAAGTAGAACAGGATGAAGCAGGAGTATTGGGAAGATGATTGAGCTATCTTTATCTAGGAAGAAATTCGGCTCTGTTTTTATCCTCTTGCTATGTCCTGTGTGCATAACATCCTGTCAGTTCTGCTTGGGTTTTCATGCAGATCCATGGTTTGCAAGAAGGCATATCATTACTGTTAAGGAACCAGTATCTATCTTTAAACTTTTTGTTTCTTTTTTCTTCTTTTCCAGTTTGGGCCACATATGTTGAAGTCTACAGGGAAAATGAAGGCTTTAATTGAAAATGTTTCAAACTCCTAAAGGACAATGAGCTGAGAAAGACTGTCCTGATTTAGCTGTTGGTTTGTGAGGGCTGTTTTAGCTAGTAGAAATCAACACTATTTAGTAAATACCTGACTTCAGAATTCCTTGGTCTCCTTTTTAACCTAATTAGTGGATTAAGTACTAGTGAAAGCACCGTAAGTTCGGTTTTGCTTTTATGAGATGGTCAGTTCTGGAACTCCCCTTAACATACATGTATTTTGACATGTTTAATCTATAGCCAGGGTGTTCAGGGTTCCAGGCTTGAAAACCTTTGTAAGATTTCAGAACATAGAAAAAGATATTTGTGGATGTTACTGTGCATTTTTAATTCTTAACACTAATTTATCTGTACAGGTGTTTTATAGGCATGTGTTTGGATATAGAAGTTGATGTAAAAGTTAGTAATGAATGCTGGCCATGAGGGTACTGCTGTCTTCCCTTGTCTTCAGTGAGCATTTACTGAGTCGTGAGGAAACAGCTGATATAACCAAGTTACTGGAGTGAAATATTTGAGATTGAAGTCTTGTCTTGAACAGAACTTCTATCTTAGATTCTCTCTCCCACTTTCTTGGAGCTGAGTTTTACATAGGAACTGGATGATGTTCACTTCTGAAATCCCAATGCTTCCTGTTAGGACGAAGATGAGGACTAGGAAAGCTACTTACCCCTCAGTGCCATCCATTGTTGATGGGCTTTTCAAGTAGTGACAAATCAAATTATTAAATTACTTAAGTAAAAACCAGAATGTACCATCTTTTTCTTTTCAGTTTAATAAATGGCATCATAAAAAAATAACTTGTTTCTAAGTTAGTAATACTTCTGGAATTGTCAGCATGAATGGAGTTTAAATTTAAAGTTTGAAAATTTTTTTAATGGTCCTTGGGTTTGAACTCTGCCTTATACTTGCTAGGAAAGGTATTCTACAACTTGAAGTATACCCCCAGGATCCCCAATTTTAGTTTTAATATTAACTTTATAATGAAATTGAATAAGCAAGTGAATTTTCTATAGATTATTTATTACTGGTCAGAATGCTGTTCTGATGAACTATGCAGTGTAAAACTTAGGTGTTATTAGAAAGGGAGAGATGCCTCATCAAGGGTTCCTAAGGACTTGCTATAAGTGATCATATTTTAAAATGCTTAATAAATTTTTATGATCTTTTTATTTTTGATCTCAACTGAAGTTAATGCCAGAATCTCCTACCATGAATAAATATTTGGATTCATTATTTAAGTGTAGAGAATAGTTATATTTCCTGAGAGGATTAAGAGATAGGAAAAATAGATTTTAAGTTATTGAAAACATGTGTGTTGTATTAACAAGATTTGAGGTAAACAATTCATAGTTTGGTTATTTAGTTTAAAATTTTAGTTTACTTTTTTTTTGTTGTTTTTTTTCTTTTTTGCTACTGGGGCTCCAACCCAGAATGTTGCACTTGCTAGGCAAGCACTTTGCCACTGAGCTACATCCCAGCCCTAGTTGACTTTCTTTTTTCTTTTCTCTTCTTTTTTGAACTCAGGGCCTTGTGTTTGGTTAGACAGCACTACCACTTGTGCTGTGCTCCCAGAACGTTTTGCTTTACTCATTTTTGAGATAAAGTCTTGAGTTTGAGGTTATGCCTTTATTGGCCTGGGCTATGATCTTCTTAAGTATACTTCCTGTAGAGCTGGAATGCCAGGTACATGCCACCACACCTAGCTTTTTATTGGTTGAGATGGGGATTCAAGAACCTTTTGCCCAGCTTGCCTCAAACCTCAGTAGGATAATAAGTATGAGCTGCCACACCCAGCTTAATATGTGTTCTTTTAAAATGTTTTGTTATGTGAGAAAAAAAAATTTTTTTAAATCAATTGTGGGGCTTGAATTCAAGGCCTGGGCAGTTCCTGAGCTTTTCTGCTCAAGGCCTAGCACTCTACCACTTTGAGACACAGCTCCACTTCTGGTTTTTTTGGTGGTTGGAGTCTCACAGACTTTCCTGCTCCGGCTGGCTTTGAACCATGATCCTCAGATCTCAGCTACCTGAGTAGCTAGGATTATAAGTGTGAGCCACCAACACCTGGCTTGAAAGTTCTGTCTTTTAAGAAATTCAGAAAATTTCTGTAATCTCAGTTACTCAGAAGTAGAAGCAAGAGGATTACAAGTTTGAGGCTAGCTCTGGCAAAAATGAGTAAGCCTGTATCCCAAAATAATACTGTACTAACTCTAGCCTGTCCAGGCAAGGCCTGGGATTCAATCTCCAGTTCCCAGGACTGCCCCCCTCCAAAAAAATCAGAAAATTAATCTGATACATATTTTGACCTAAGAAAAAATTTTAAATCAATATTGAATTTGAGCTAGTGCTCCAATCAGGAGATAACTTGTAAAATAAAGCAAATTGGTATTTTCCTTGGAATGATGTATGTTTTTCTTTTTTATAGTTTTTACAGTTGGTCAGATTCTTTTATATTGTACATGTTGTTTCTGTCTCTCAATCATCTACCTATCTGGCAGTACTGGGTTTGAATTTGGGGTCTATGTTCAGTAGGAAGGATTCTACTCTTTGAGCTATACCTCAACCCTTTTGCCTTGTTATTTTTAAGATAAGGTCTTACTTTTCCCCCCAGGGCCAACCTCACTGTGTGATCCTCCTACTCTATACCTCTTACAGGTGGATTTACGGTTGTGGGCCAGCATGCCCAGCTTGTTTTTGAGAATGCGGGGAAGCAGGTCTTATTTTTTTGTTTTGGCATTTTTGAACAATGTTCTTCCCAATCTCTGTTTACAGAGTAGCTGGAATTATAGGTTTGCACTACTAAGACCAGTTAAGTTTCTTTAGAGTGACTTCTTGCATTTCTTAAGTGGAAATACATTCCTTAAAATGAGTTATGTCACCTTCTCATTAACTTGTTCTTTTAAAGGGCTCTTGGATCCTTGACACAAGAAGGTAGTCCCAGGAGATAGTTAAGTTTCCTCAGGATTGTCAAACTTGAAATGTAGTCTGGGATTAGTGAGATCTGTTCTGACTTCCTCGGCTGCATCCTCCTGTTTGTAGTCCTCCTACCCAACTATCTGTGAAATAGGGGACCATAAAAGTTTTTACATTTTATAGTTGAAGCTCCAAAAGTTATGTAACATGTTATAATCTTTTGTCTACTATAATTCTAAGTAGTCCAGAGACACTCATAGATAGAAAATGTCAGATAGCACTGGACTTGAGCATGTGTGGTCCTGACAAGTCATACTTTTAAAAATGAGAATAATTATTGGCTCAAAATTTTGAGGGTTAAATGAAAAAAAAAATGGTGCTGGTTACCCTATGGATAGTAACATAGTTATCATTACCATTGCCTTATTTCATGTGAAGTCTCTCTTGTTTCCAGGAGTGTTATTTTTCCTAAAACACTTGGCCCTTCGCATATGCCAATCCTATACATCCACTTGCACAGGGTGAGGGTGGGTCAGTCTGGTCATCTCAGTCATGGGCACTTTGGCACAAGATATTTATCTTTTTGCTGTGCTAAATGTTCCGATGAGTCTGTATCTCGATGCAGAAAAGCTGTAGGTAGTAATTACCAGAAACATTGTTATGTTCTGATAATATCCTCAAAATTAGTTCTCCATGAGTAGAATCTGGCTGGTTAGAGTTCACACTTTTAGACCAGGCTTTACGGCACACCTCTATGATCCTAGTATTTGGGAGGCAGAGGCAGCAAAATCATGTCTTCAAGGTCAATCTAGAGAAAAGATTGGTCTGAAAAGAAAGTAAACTTTTAGGACTTTGCTCAGCTTAAACAGCTCTGGAATTTTAGGACAGATTGTCACAGTGTTTCTCAGCACTTTCCTCCATTACTAGAGCCCCATTCTGTGTCCTCTTTTTTGTAGAATCACCATTTCTCTGAGCTACCCTTTGAACCTATTTTTTAGAATTCTTTAGTAGACTTCCCTTGAAACCCTCATAAGTAGGGAAGCCCCTCATAATGCTCCCCCTATAGAGAACAACTCTGATAATAAAAGTAGCACAATCAAGTAAGGACTCAGAAAGCTTGCCCACCTCCCTCAGACTGTTGTCCTTTGTTCATAAAGGCGTAGAAACCTGAATATTACTACATCTGGCACTTTGAAAATTTTCTCTTTTGGCAAATTTTCCAGCCCTTTGCATGGGTCGGAGGGCTTCTTCCTGTAAGGTTCAAGTAGAATCACAAGTGTAACTTAGATATTCTCAGGAAGGTGAAGAGTAACGATGATCCCTATAGTGCCTGCTGTTTGTACCAGTGGTTCACATAGGGTAGTCCTTGCTTGCTTTACAGCTAGAGTGGCCTTAATTTGAGCAAAAAGGCCAGACTCTTCATAAGATATTTACCTAAGTATAACAAGCCTGTCAATGGCACGAGGTGTTCTTTAGCCAGGCGTGTTTTTCCTGAAAGACTTAAGAGATAAGCTCCTGGGAATTGTGCTATGGAAACCAGCATCCTCTTCAGGGTGGAAAGAGATGGGATCTAGAGTATATCAGGAAGTCTTTTTAGCAGTAACTGTACACCCATACGTACAGGCAGAGCAGCACCCTGCTGTCAAGCTAGTCAGTTAGCTCTTGTCCTTGACCTTCCCCACTGTATTGTAAACTGTGAGGTGCCCAGGGACACAGCCTCAGTGAGCTGTCCAGTCACATCTCTCCCTCCCCTGCAAGAACCTCAATGGGAAATGCCAAAAGTTTGAGGCAGTACCAGGAACTCAGATTGTGAGGAAATCAATTAGGAAAATTTAGAGCACTTGTTAAATGTCAGTACACAATTTAAGAGGATAGACTACAGGACTGAAACTCACCTCTGGCAAGCTGTAGAGACAGGCGTTCTTAAAAACATATTACATTGTACTTTTTTTTAATGAGTCGTGGGCCTGAACTCTGGGCCTGGGCACTGTCCCTCAGCCCTCCAGCTCAAGGCTAGCGCTCTACCATTTGAGCTACAGCACCACTTCCAGCTTTCTCTGCTTATGTGGTGCTGAGGAATTGAACCCAAGGCCTCATGCATGCAAAGCAAGCACTCTACCACTGAGCCACCTTCCCAGCCCTACATTACACTTTTTCAAAGCAAAAACTTCATGGTAGAGATGGAAGAAGTTCCCTGATTAGATTCTAGATTCTGCCTGGAAGCTTAGTCTATCTAGCCTAGAGGAAAGACTTGTCTGTAAAGAACATGAACTCTCCTGGTATAGCCCCAGTTACCTGAAGTAATCTGATTTCTGACCTTGTAATAGAAAACTTCATCCTTCCCTATTTTTGATGACTCTTAAGATAGAAATTCAAAGTTTACTATGAATGTCCACTTAGGAAACTATGTTGCTGGAGATGAAAATCAAGGCTTCAGGCCCATAAGAGGTTAACTGCTATCTCCAGCTCTACTTCTAGAAGTTTAAGCAGTTTGTGAATGTATGTTTGTGTAACATCCTCCCCCATTCATTCTTATGTTGAAACTAACCCATAATAGGATTTGTTTGGTGGGGGGCACTTTTTGGGAGGTAATTAGGACAGATTTCATGATGGGATTAATACACCTTTAATAAGAAGAGGAAGAGAGCTAGCCCTTTTTCCTTCCAGCCATCTGAAGATTCAACCAGAAGCTGGCAAGTCTGCAGCTGGGAGGAAGGCCTTCACCAGACCAACAATTCTAGCACGTAGATCTTGGACTTCCAGCCTCCAGAGCTGTGAAAAATAAATATGTTTAAAGTCATCAGTAAATTATACTTTGTTATAGCAACTTGAGCAAACTAAGACAAGCACACTTGTTATTTCCTGTAAAAAGTTTATATAAATTTCAGCTAAGATAAAGGAACTTGTGATATCATTACAGTTTCCTGATTTTGTTTTATACAGGATGTCTCAACAATAAAGTAGTACTTCAAACTTACATTAAAAAACTCAAATGCATAGTTTAAAGATAAGTACAAAATGGAATTTCTTAACAAAGGGATCAGTGAAAAGCCACAGTAGAATCAGTCACCATGTTTTAGTTTTAAATAACAGCCAACCAGAAATTTAATACTAAAAATGGAGGTATTTCCCTTTCCCTTCCACTCTCAAGACACGTTGCAGGACAGCTTTACAAAGTGTAGACAGAAAATCTTAAATGGTGCCATTTTTCATTATTAAAACATTTTTTCTTCTGAATAGTACCCCCACAATACTAATTTTGTATAATTCTGAAAATTATCATATTTAAACACTGCACACATTCTGACCCCAAACACTTTAAGAATGGATACATTTTAATGTCCATTGCTACACAAAACAGGAACGGAGATAATCTTTATTATATAATACAGACTTATTTCAGTAATAGTTTTAATAGCTGAAGAAGTGAATACATTCCATAGATTGTCCAATGTTTATTGATGGCCCGCCCAGTCAGTCTTATACTGAGCAC